CTTTGTTTCTGCCGCTGGCTTTTGCGTCGTTCCGGTTCGAAGGCAAAAGAGCCACCCTCGCAAAATCGGCACTTTTAGTCGCCAAGGCCGAACGAGACGCGCAGTTTGCCGTGATGTGCGCCTCTTTAGATGATGATGACGACGCTTCTCCTCCAGAGAGTCGTCCTATCGATCGATCCCTATCGGCAGACTGCGAATGTGGGGCGAAATTGGGCTCAATTATGCTCTCCATTTGAGTCAAAAGCGTGCTCTAGATAAGAATATACTCGGGCACTGCTCGTTTAACGGCAAATGTTTAGCTAAAAATTCGCAAAAATAATTAATAAAGGTAATTTATTGTAACATTCTTATTTTAATAATTTTTTAAATAATTTCATTTGGATATATAACAATTTGTAAATACAAATTTGTTTGTAAAAAAAATTTTTTTTTGCTTAATAACTTAGGGACTGAGTTTTTTCTGTGAAAAGATACCTTTCATTTTTTTTTGTTGGAAGAAATATTAACATAAATATATTCATGATAAATTCTGTAATCTTCAAATTATTAGTCAAGTACCTCTAATTAAAATTATTTTATTAAATGAGTAACAAACTGTAGGCACAAAAATAGATATATGCATGAAATTGAAAACCGAGAAAATTATTTTAATTAAAATATCAAGAAAAGGCCAAACTTTTTCACCAACCTCTTAATTTACAACTTTTTTTATTAACAAATATTTTTTGATCAGGGAATATTCTTCTATTCATTTCATCATATTATGATCTTGAAATTTTCAATTAAACTTCAAAGAGGCAAGTTAAGAAAACCTGCAAGCTATTTCTTATTAGAGCTGGAACATCCGTACAAATCGTTGGCAAGAAGTGCCCTATAAAGAAAAGAATTCCACTATCAAAGACGCAGCCATAGCGTTCAGTGCTTGCGAAGCACTTTTGTGCCAAAACTAATGAGAAATATTTCACCCGTAATCTCTTTCCCGCAGCAAAATTAGTTTCTCCGCACAAAAAGAGGGTGGTTCTCTCGTGACATTAATTTTCGTGGGAGCGACAGTGCGGTGATTATTTTGGCCGCAGTTTGCGACAGGAAGTTGAGGAGGACGAGCGAGTCGTCAGCACCTCAGACGCGTGCATGGCACTTGAGGCGGCCTCGGTTTGAAATAAGAAGTGCAAGAAATAGGGGAGCACTTTTTTTACTTGCGGTTCGGCTACACACAGGAAGAGAGCGGAAAATCCAAAGGGGTTGGCGACAGAGAGCAGAGATGAAGCCTTGCATGCACAACCCTCTCGCTTCGTCTACCGCAGAGCCTGCCGCGGTATATATTTATTTATGATTCTTTCATTTCTGCGAACGAACGAGACGCGTCTTTATTTGTGTGTAGGCTTCAAAAGAAGAAGAAGAAGAAGACTCTTCTTGAAGAAAAATTCCTGTTTAAAAAAAGGAGGAAGAAAATAAGTCAGCCGAGATGAGCAAGACTGATGCATAATGCTTCATCGTTCTCTCTTTTTTTTATGAAAACACTCAGACGTAAAGGGTTAATGTGAAAGAAAAGCCTTGAAAGTGCCACTGGCGGCGGTCTTGTGTCCGATGAGTATTGTCGGTTGCGTCGTTAAGAGGCGCGGAGAAGAAGGGCTCATTAGAGAAGAATCCATTTTAACAAAAATTTTGATAAAATTATTTTAATTTTTAATAAAACCATGAATCGAACTAATTAATATTAAGCAAATAGGATTATAACTTGATTTTTTTTAAATGACAGAGACATAAAGTAAATTTCAGTTGAAGTATTTTTCAATACTAATGTCTTTTTAAAATAATCTTCTTTTAGGTCAGTTTTGACTAAAGACTCCTTTCAAGCGAATCATTATTTAAATATTTTATTTTCCAAAGTGGAATATAAATCTCACTGCAAGCGTCACTGTTCCATTTACGGTACACCGAATTCTATTTTTAGTGGCCGGCGTTCATTGACGGCGTGTTAAGCAAACTGACAAATCATCAGCCGTCGCTAAGCAGGCAAATAATCCACCCGCTGACGAGAAGCACGTGCGCGCCTCGAAAAATCGTCGAGCTTATTTTGCCTTGCAGCAGGTCAATTGTATTCCGCCGAGAAGGCCAGGGCCGCTCTTTGAAAACTCCTCTCGGCCTGCATCTTCACCTTGTGTGGTGCATCTGACGCAAAGCAACGGCTGAATGGAAGAGATGATGCATTTGTTCGTTAATTGTGCCTGAGGAGCTCGTCGTGGTCTCCTTTTTGTTGCTCCGGAGCACGCGCGTCGTGACTGCAGCTCTGCAGTTGGGCGTCGTGTATGTTTTTTGTGTGCCGTGAACTATCAGCTTTCCGCAAAAGCAAACAGTCAAATTGTAGGTTTGATATTGCACTCGTGGCTGTACGTTTTGTTATTTGTTTTTGTTGCATGCCACTATACAAAAGGAAACAATATTGTCTTATCGACTGTATTTATTTTTATACCGGGCGTTACAGGTTGACCCAGAATTGAATCAAAAGCTCAGAACCTGACGGTGAAAATTATTTTTTGGTTAATCCCTGCCCAATTTCATTCCGAAAAAATGAAGCAGAAAATTCATTGATTTTTTTATCCGTCTAAGATAAATTTTTAATCAATTAAAATGATTAAGCCACAATTTTAATCTCGTCCATTTTGTTTATTTTTTTTTACCACATTCAAAGGTTATGTTAAAAATAACATACTCCTGGGAAATTCCCAACAGAAACGGAAAACTATTGAAGGCTAATTCGAGCTTTGGCGAAAATAATCTTAAGGATCCGGCTAACCAAAGTCGTGACTCAAAGAGAAATCCGCTTCAATTTCGCGCAGGAAGTGACATCGCGGGTGAAGTGTTTGCGTGTGCGGTTCTTCCCGTCTTGGCTTGTACTAACACCAAAAACTCGCGTCCGAAATAGTCTGGACGACCTCACTAGCCTCGTGCTTTGAAAGCAATTAATTAATTAAAATTAGTTTAGTAAACAATGCTTGTTGTTTGCGGCAAAAATAATCCCTAAAAATTGGTCTCTAGAAATTTTCCGTTATACAAAAGCTTATTAAATTAGAGGATTTGTGTGCAGATACGATCTTCATTTTGGTATCTAAAAATCAGGAAGTGCGATCAAAGCTAGGAAAATAAATGCTGGACCACTCTATCTCTAAATTTAAATCACAGACCCGCGTCCAGTTTACTCTGCTCTAAGCGGATTGTTTACAAAGTCGGCGTAGGAAGAAAAGGCTGACGACCTTTTTTAATAAATTCAGCCCGCCCCCGCGCTAGAATTTTACTACTTTTCCAGTAGGGGCCTTTTGTTATTCATATTATTCGGCTCTGTTCGTAATTGGGCGGTGATTTTATTTCGCGCGACACGCGCCCGCTCAGCCGCAGAAAGCCAGTCTGGGCGGCTTTTTTATTTTGTCTGCATTGTCTTGCTGTTATTCTTCTCGTCATAATTAAAAACTGCGCCGCTTGTTGTCTTTATTCATATTTTCGCCCGCCGTCATTATTTTCGATTCACGCCGAAGCGGCGCATTTTAATCACTCTCACTTGGTGCATATGTGTGGCGCTTGAATTCATTTTGGCGCAGACTTTCTGCCTCTTGGCGGCGACGCTCATATAATGCGGACTCATTTTTTACTTTTTACCACAAACAGCACACAAGCTCTTCTGTCTCTTTAAGAATTCAACTAAACGGCGGAGCTGGAATTTTTTGCATAAATAATCAAAAGGTCATAGGACGGCCTGCATTTATTTTTTTGTTGTATAAGCGACGGGAAAAATATAAATAGGTGATTACCGAATTATGAACTATATAGCCTGCTTGTTACAAGAGAACGACAAATGCACGCAATGAATTCATTTTGCTAATTTTATTATACATCATAATATAAAACGTGGTGGTTTCTGTGTGATTAATTTAATAATAATGAAATGCTAATTTAAACTGATATTTTTCTATATTATGCTTTATAAAAAAGGATATTTTTTAAATAAAATGATCAATCTCAAATATTTCAAATGATTTTTTTAAATTTTCTTCTTTCAGAGCTCAAAATTGAACTATCATTAACTATTAAGTTTCAATTCCCGCAATTGTATCTCATTTTTAAGAACCTATTAGTAAAATTCCAAAGGAAATTCATGCAAATATAAGACTTACTTATGTTATATACAACCATATACACTTTTGAAGTGTTTTTGGCATGACCTCTTTGTTTAGTCTTTTGAATTTGAAAGAAAAATACAGTTTACATAATCAAATCGGAGGGGCTGGCTTTCACCTTGGTCATATTGCGCATATACGGCCTGCTTCCCGTTTTCCTCGCCTCTTTTCCGCGCCCCTTCTGTGCATGAATGTGCAAATAATGCCGGCTCAAAGAATGGATGAATGGAAGTGTTGAATAGACATAAGTGTGTGCTCAGATAGTCCCGCATAGATAAGAGAGCGGCCGCTCAAATAGAGCACCGGCTAAATGTATAACTCGGCGCTTTTTCTCACGTGACGAACTTCCATTCAGGTGTGGCGAGCCCCTTCGAGTTCATTCATTCGCCGATTTCCTCTTTCCCTCTTTTGTTCGAATCAATGCGAGCCATATTAAGCTCATGGTTTTTAATTTTTTCCCATACAAAATAGCCTTTCTCGTTTGCATTTCCGGCCGCGTTTTCTATTTTGGTTTAAGCTCGATGCACAAATGGTGTAGAAAATCTCTGGGAACTCTTTATTTATAAACAATTTGCGCAATATTTCTATAATTGAAGGCGGAAACTCTTTACAATTTCCCCGAATGACCGTTGACAAAATTAGCATTTCTTTATTCCAAGAGTTGTTTTGCTTTTGTGGTTTCCCGGACGCAGGAAATCCCAATCTCTCTTTGTGCGCGCATCTTTTACATCCTTTTTCATAATTTGAAATGAATACAACTCGTAAGCAACGCAAAAAGTAGTAATCCCCTGCTGCTGTCTATGGAGAAGCCGCATTCATTTACTTTTCGGAAACAAAACGATCAATCATTTTCTTCGCAGTTGGCGCAATTAGTTTATCCTCTGAAGCAACAAGCCAGAAAGCAAACGTGCTGCAGTGTAACAAAAGAAGCAGCAGGATAACGAAGGTACACACACAAGTGAGGAGTGAATCACCACTGGCACGAACAAAAACGGTATTTTGTGCAAGGAAAGCAAATACGGGTAGCAGAAAATAGTCTCCTCCACTCTCCAATCCAGACATTATATTCAATGAGCAAATAAATTTCATAACGAAATTGAATGTTTTTAATGTCTAAATTTCTAGATACTTCAATAATTATATTATCAATTATTTCAGTGCTCAAGAGTGGTGCCAAATTACAGTTTTTCTAAATTCTTCGGAAGTGACAGTTTAAATTGAATAACATCTCCATTATTATAAAGATCAATTTCTATTGTATCTACAAATTTCAATTTATTTTACAAGCAAATTACCAGTAAATCCTCTTGAGTAGCATAAAAATTCAGCACAAACTTTGATATTACGCAACTTCACTAATTTGTATTGCATTTCCAGTGATTATGCACAAGTTGTTAACAAAATAATTCGGAGAGACACTATCGCAGCATGCAAATCTCAATTCCATGACCCTTTTTGCTAAAACAACCTGCGGACAAAGCGGTGGCCACAAGTCTAGCCAGAGATAGGAATCGTGTGTAATAAGCGCAAGTAGCCGACGAGTGTTTTTGTTTCATTCGGGAATGCTCAATCGCGATAATGGTCTAGCAGCCACTGCTCTCTCTCTCTCACTCGGTCGCTCCGTGATTATTCAAATTGCAGCTCGCGAAAGCGTATCCCCTGCGCGCTGCTCATCGCCAAGGACGGCCCTCTGCCGCTTTTGTTCCGCTCAGAAAACTCGCAGATAGCATCCAGAGCGCCGCACAAAAGCCTTATCAATTCGTCAAAATCGGCCCCCGAATTTAAATTTGGTCAGTGTCGGTTCGTCGTTCGCAGAATCCACTCGCGACGATTTTCTCGCAGGTGCGTCTGCACTTTTATATATTCCATATCCCTCTCGCACCAAATTATCGTTATTTCACCTCGGCCGCTCGCCGCTGATTTGCATAAACAAAGCACGCTTTTAATGAATAGCCAGTCTGTCGTGATTTTTCCTCTTTATTTTTTTTCCTCCGCGTTGTAAAACAATTTGGTATCGTTTTATTCTGTTCGCGGAATTTCGGGCTTGGATTTTATGGGCGCACTCGGAAGGAAAATTGCTGTTTTGCAGACGGGTCTGCGCCATGTCATTATTCAGACGCAATTGCTTTGCGCGTTTTTATTTTGAGTCTTTTACTCAAGGAAACACACACTATGCAATTTTCTGTCTCAGAGATGCTGTGGCCCTAAAGCATTTTAGGCAGTAAAAGTTGCGCTTTAACGAACCTTTTACCCTATTAAGATGAATTTACTGCTCTATCCTGGTATTTACAGATTTTAAGTTCATTCCTAAGATGAAATTAGCCGATCTGAAATGATTTTTTTTATCAATTCATTTAAATTGTCATTTGGTTGAATTATTTATTATTTTCAATAATTTTAAATTTTATTAACAAATCTAAAATAAGAAGCAATTTTGGATTTAATAATTCAAGAAGTTATTTAGTCTCGATTGCCTTAAGCATGATTATTAATTGGAACAATTAATGCGGAATACACGTGCAGTCAGAGCATCGCTTACGCCTTGCTCCATACAATTAATTAGCAGCAGTGTAATTATCTTCTCCTGCTCCAGACTATAGACATCGTCTGCGCCGCCCTTCTGGGAATACCAACTTTTTTCATCGCCAAATATTTATTATTTCCTCCACATTCTGTGAAGCGAAAAATTAGAATTTTAGCACCTTTAGAACTAAATAAAGTCTTTTAAACGAACCCCTTCTTTTCACAGCACCTTTGAATTGACGAAAGTCTTTAACAAAAATCCGCGTTTCGTTTGAAAAACTCTCGTTTTCCGCTTATAATGAGTTCTCATTTTTCGCCATTAAAATTTCACGTTCCCCTCGCCAAGCACGAATTGAACGAAAAGGAGTCTGGCTGAAAGCAAGTGCACGTACTCCTCGACAGTAGTGCAAACGGTCCTTTGTTTACTCTGCAGAGCAAGGGGAAACGCCGACGACATGGTCCCGCAACCCGCCGAACTCGCGGCGTCGCTCAGTTGCCTACCGAGCGCGGAGCCGTGATCACCATCCCAGCGCCCAAGTCTCGCGCCGGCACAGGGGTCAGGATCGAGTAGACGGTGTGCGCGAGGGCTGTGCTGACACCTAGCGGAGCGAGTCGAAAACTTTTCGCACTCGGCGGCGCACTTTCGCAATATCAAGCACGTCGGCTTGGGAATGTGATTTCACATTAATTATCGGCAATTGCGCGCCGTCCCCCGTCAGTCGTTTGCCTTTGACGAGTTGGCTGACTCGTAATTTTCGGCTCTTGCGGGCCCCTCTTTAAAGTGACAAGCGCGTGTGGGGTAGGTTTTTTATTCCTTTGATTCAACCGTTTTGACTGCGTAGAAATTACAATTGGTTCTATTTTTGTTTCAAAGTTTTCTTTTAATTTAATAAGTAATACAAAAGTTTTAATTTTGTTTTTGCTAGTAAATTTAATCCTCCAACTTCAATTTCTAGTTTTTTTTTATTTACTTCAAAAATTATTTCATTGCATTACCAACTCAAAATATTTATTTTTTTCATTGCCTTTATATTTTAATGAGAAATTGCTCTAAATGATACTAAGAATGATAATTATTTATGAATAATTTACTTTATTTTTAATAATCAAAACGGCAGCTACTTAGCTATTTTTTATTATTCAAATTTGCTGACCAGTCTCTCTTCTAATAAATAATTTGTCCCACATCCAAATGGAATTGTACCATATTTTCTTGTCCTTGTGCCAAAAGCAAACTCGACGACAAAGCTGAAAGCAGGGTGTCTACATCTATATTTATTCACCAAGGTTCCTCCCATTCAGAGCCCGTACAATTTTGCCCGCAATCTGGTTGTTAAGTTTGCTAACGCGCGATTTGTGATTGCAGGCCACCCGCGACTTCCTCGAGGTGGTCAACAAGCTGCGACGACGACGACACGCGGGCCCCGTGTCGTGGTCGGCTGCCGTCAAGTTCCTGGCCGCCAGAAAATTCGACGTGGGTCGCGCGGTGACCCTGTACGAGGCCCACGAGGCCACCAGGCACCGCGAGGGCCTCTCACAATTCAACCCCCTGCAGGACCCTCTCGGCAAAGAGCTCAGCACCGGCAAGTTTACAGTCTTGGTGAGTCAAACTTATCTCCCGGGCGCACTTTATGACCTGGAAAAGTGCCATCGAATCATTTTATCATTGAAATCTAACTGACTGAGGGGCCGGACACAGACCAACCTCCCTCGAGACCTCCGCCGTCCAGAGTTCACAAGTTGACTCATTTATTAGATAATTTTAAATTGATGCGGTGGCATTTTCTGAATTAATTGCAATTTGAAAAATGGTTTGAATATTTTTTAAAATAATTATTTATGATTTTCACGTTTCAAGGTAGAAAATAAATTTTATTTTGGAACAAGGTAAATAAAAATATTACATTTAATTAAATTATTTTGCTATAATTTCAGCAAAATAAATTAAATATTTAATTTCAAACTTAAAATATTTTCTTTTCTTACAAAATAAGAACTATATTTCCATTCTTTTAAGTAGTGTTGTGGATGCTGCAGACACAAGTACGTTCCACTTGTATCCGCCTTGATTTATGCATATTCTTCATGTTTGTTTAGCCGACCCGAGATGAGACTGGCGCCGCGATTGCTGTTTTCACAGCCAGACTGCATGACCCGGGCACAAGCACGCACCAATGCACACTGCAGGTATGTGATATATAAAAGGTTAAGTTTCACATACGCCCCAGTCGAGCATTGATTTCAAACTAACAAATTCCGTCTGTCAACACTTCAAATTGAATTGAAAATTATTTGACATCCCTTTTTCTCTTTGATCTACCGACACCGATCGAGGCTCAAATCAAATTATGACTATAAATATACACGGGGCCTAATTAAATTTCCTGGAGATGTGACAAATTGTGCTCGCCATTTATTTATCTACACGTGACGGCGGCTAACTAAGGAGAGATGATCCAACGAGCACCAAATGATGGCCATTAGTCCGCTTCTGGCGCTCCACTGATTCATTAATCTGGTTTCAGGGGGTCGTTTATCAATTGGACGTGGCCCTCGAGAGTGCCGAGACGCAACGCTGCGGCCTGGTCTTCGTCTACGACATGACTGGCTCCAAATACTCGCACTTTGACTACGAGCTCAGCCAGAAAATTCTGACCCTGCTCAAAGTGAGTACAGCCCCGCATGTTTGACTTTGAATGATCGGTCTTGCATTATGGAATAAGAGGAGAGCGATAAATACGCACGCGTATAGATAAGGATGATGCTTCTGTTCATTGATGGGACATAATTAAGATAAGAGCTAGAATGACCGGCGAAAGTTTTCGGGGCCATAAATTTTAAATTTCGTTTTGATGCCTTTTTCTTACATGAAAATTAAATTTTATTTTACATGAAAAATAAGACTAACAATTTTTTATAACTACGAGGTTTGATAATTTTCCCTGGTTCAAAAAGTAATTTAAATACATATAAATTACTCACTTCTAAACCCCTATGCAAATAAAATCTAGGTCGGCGCCAGAAATTCCAGGTACAGAAAAGCCAAGTGTGCAAGGAAATTGCGACATGGCGATTTGCATTCGCTAGCACGAGTTTCCTCCAACGCAACCTTTTCCTCGGAATTGCTCGTGATGACAAAATTTATTATCAGATGTGAGCGAAACGCGCTCGTAAAATCTGCCCGAAGAGGCGCACGTCGCCTTCGTTTCATCAGAGGGGCGTTATTTCGGGCTGAATTAACAGCGCGAATTGCGAGCACGTTGCTCTCTCTCCACACTCTTGGATGCGTTTGTTCCTTTTCGGAAAGGAAAACGAAAACGCCGTTCTAAATTTAGCACCCTAATAGGGCGTTGTTATTATTCATTCGTAGGCGGCAGATTTCGGTGAAAGGCGCGCGCGGGGAAAGCGCCCGCGGAGTGGAACCAACTTTGTTTGATGTTACACATTATTACTTTTGAGAACTACGACGCGCTAAATTATCACAGAGAGAGAAAATTGAATGAAGATATGGGATTTGTCGACTGAGAATTGGATTCTCGCGTGGCAAATTGAGTGGGAAACTTTGAGACACGTTGGAGTAGAGGAAGAAAGTAAATTAATGTTTCTCATTTGTAATTTCGCTGCGTGCCGAGATGACCAACCAGTCCCCCAGCAAGATTGATAAAACGGAGGCGCCAGTCGAGGAAACGATGCGGTCGTAAATTGCAGAGTTTATGAGATAATTGTGCAGAACGGTCAGGCGGGGGCGCGGAATTGCGTTTCCAAGTTGGTGAGAAAGAGCGAAACGCGACTAAAAGCATCGTCGGCAGCTGCACTTTTTCAAGTGTTGCCTGTTCTCTGCAGCAGCCACTTCATTAAAACTTTTCAGCCAACTTCAATTAGCCGCTCTCCTCGCAATTAAAAATGAAAGCTCGCGCCTTCTCCAGCACAGCGCTGACCTATTATGTCGCCATACTTGAAAGAAAAACATGGCGAATTTATGGCGCAATTCGTCGGTCATAAATATTCGGGCGTTAATCTCGGGCGCATGTATTATGCATCACTTTTCCCGAGGACGAGACTTTCTCCAGACGGGGGGTGAAAAATGACGACCCCGGCCTGTTTATCTCCACTGCCGGGCGAATGCAAATTCCGGCGACGATAAAAAGTGCGAGTGTCGTTTTTGCCTGCGCGCGAGAGACGCATTTTTTCCGCAGACGACTTCTTCGTGCGGCAATTTCGGGTGCTCATTCGCTCGGAAAAGCGAGCGCGAATTTCAAAAGAAAAGCTCTTTATGTGTGTGCTGAGCAAGCAGCTCTCGTATATTTTTTTCATTCATCCTTTTTGCGTTTCACTGTAGTTAATAAATTTGGACGAGTGAATTCTCTGAATCCTTTTATTGTGCGTGCCAAAAATAGAAATAATTTTGCTTTCCAGCAGCGGCCTTGTGTGTATAGAAACAAAGCCGATGTACAGAGCGGATGCCTGGTGCCGTATCGATTTGCGATTCGTATCATCGCCGTAGGTTTTGTTTTGTGCTCCGTTTATATCCCCGCGAAGAATGCTGCTCTGGATTAATATTGCAGCGCCGAGAGGACAAAGCGAAAAATAATGCCACGCTACAACAGCTCCGGTGAAAAGAAAACTTTGCTGATTTTCCTTCCGACTTGCGAAATTAATGCGCTGCATGAAAGTTTGATGTATAAGAGTTAACAACAAAGTGCATTTGCGAGGTGTGCTTAATTATCTGGACTCATTAGCGAAACTCTATCAAGTAAGCACCACACCTCAGTGAACTGAACACAGTATAGCATGTTTGATCAGAAGTAGTTGAAATTACAATTCAATTGGAATTGATTATTAATTATTTGTGCACATTGTGCACATTGAATTGTTGAGAACAATTTATTTAAAAAAAATAATTGATAGGAAAAACGGCACCATCACTAGCAAGAATTTTGCTAATACTTCCAAAATAAAAAAGACCCCATCCACCGCAGTGAGCCTTATCCGATATCTTATTCAGGATTTTGTTTTTATTACAATTCACCAGAGATTTGATTAAAAAGATATGAAAATCAGATATTGGAAAAATACTTGAATTTGCGATCCAATAACTTTGTCTCTCTGAGCAATCAAATTATTATTTTAAAAGCCTCTGAAAAAAAAAATATCACCACACAAAATAATAGCAATGTTTAATAATAAAATTCATGTAAAATTAAAAAGAGATCTGCTGGAAAGCAAGAATATGCTGATTTTTCCTCTGGCTGTGAATAACACTTTTTTCACTCAAAATTGTACAGGAATAAGTAAATTGAATTGTTTTTGAACGACTGAAAGTGTGAAATTTTGTAACCACGCTACTATATAGCTCACTTGAGAAATATACAGCCTTTGTGTGCGATCTTATCGCGACGGTGCACGCAACAGCAGCGAAAGCTGACAGATAAACGATGATAAAAAGCGTCGATCGCAACTTTTCCCATCGCGCGCAGAACGACCCTAAACAAAATCTCTCGGAAGACCGCAAACAAAAATCCGTCGCAGAACAAATAACAAGGACGATTCCCGCGGCACAATAAGAAATGCACAAAATTCAAGTTTGCACGCGAGCAATATAAAAGCACTTTCGAGTCGCAAACTCGCTCCCACGCAGCGTCAGTCACAATCAGCAATGAAGAGACGGCTGGAAAAATCGGTGAAAAAAGAAAAAGAAAAGTTTGTGAGTGTGTTATGGAGAAGAGCGTCAGAGGACGTGTAGTTGGGCGGTTGCCATAGCAGCCCACAGTCAATACACCTAGCGCTGGATTTGTAGAGCACCACCGGCAGGGTCAATGAGCTCTCTCTGTGCAACCTGATACTCACCCCTTTACTTCTTTATTGCCCGTCGTTCGACTGGCTGGTTGGCTGGGGCCGGTGCTAATCAGGTGCCAGACGAAATTGCTCCATTTCCCGACGGCTGGGCACAACGCCCGCGCGCGGACATCAGATTGGCTTTGCTATGAAAGCTGCGGCGATTTGTTCCAAGCTGAAATTGCTTGTTGTTTTCCTCCCTCAACTCACGATCAGTCTGCGGAAATATCAATGAACTTTTTGTCGCAGGTCATGCAGAAGGTCAACAGAAGAAAGAGTTTGATCTAGATTTTTTTTCTTCATTTTGTTAAATATATATTCGTTTTGTCTCTTTTCATATTGGGCTATTTTTATTTTATGCAACGACAAAAATTCATATTTCATATTTGTAAAAAAAACTCATGCTTTTCTCTAAAATTTCAGACATAAAAATGTTTAAATGTCTCTTTTGACGTGCGTGAATAGGCCCAGAAATACAACTAATCTCCTTTAATTACTTTATTATTCTTATTAATCTTTGTAAACTTTTTAGATCAAGTCTTATCTCGAATGAAACTTAATTAGCAGTGAATCATTAGTGACACCAGCAGGCTGGAAGCAAAACTCGCGTGATCAAAGGACCCGACCTCTCTCAATTCCAGATAAAAGAGGAATCTCGTAACGAGTGGATGATGAAAATCCCACAAGTCGCCTGCCGACTCGAGGGGAGCGCCGAGCACAAAGTTTTGCTTGTTAGGTTCGTTTCATCCGTTTGATATTCGGGGTTGTCACTCTCGACGTCGGTGCGTATGTTTACCTTGGCTAAATTTATATCAGGCGCTCGGCCAAAAGCAGCCCTTGAGCTGCAGGGGCTCATACCGAACACACCCTCTTGAGTCTGGACGGCCGGGCATGTTAATTGGCCCGCTCGGCGTCCAATTTTATGAAGTAACAAACGACCTTGAGAATCGCGCCAGATGCTGCTCGTGCCGCATCGATTGATTGATTGCTACTCGATTCGTGCACAGTTGCTCTCGGCTGGTTATTTTCGAGCTTGTCAGCAGCGGCTTGAGGAATTGCCCCGTTCCGAAATTATCAAAATATTTGCCGCTGAAGGATGGGGTTTTTTAAGATTGATGTGGAATTGGCTGCGCTCCCTGCTTTGGCGTCATCAGAGAAAATTGTTTCTAACAAATTTGGCTCTCTAAACATAGCATCAAAGGCGTCATGACGACAAAGATATGACAAGGGATGCTGTGGCAGGATTAATTTGTTGAAATTGCCAGACAGTCTTTTTTGGGACACCTGCTAAAAATGATTATCTTCATTTATTTTGTTGTCAATATGATGTTAAGAAATTATCAATGAAAAAAATGCATAATTTTTTTTTTTTAATTTGAAGTAAAAAAATTTTAGTCTAGGTTTTCAATGAAATCACGAAAATTTGAGAATTATTCTTGCTACTATTTAATTGTTTTTCTTTGAATATATTTATTTTGTAATTGAATGTAACTTTTGACTTTAAATTTCAAGTATCCGCTGCGTTTGAAAAACTAATAGATTGCAAAATAATCTAAAAAATCGCAAGATATTTTCAGCGATAAATAATTTTATATGATAAATTAGTATTATTTTATGAGTTGAAATATTTAAATGAATATAATTATAATCCTGCTTGTAATGTTTATGGATCTCACATGCGAGGTTTGCTATCTGGAATTAGATTGGCGTTTTCTCTGCCAAACAAGCAAATTGCCCGTGTTTACATTGAACTGAACGTGCGCTGGAGCCACAAATTTTCGCCCAGCGCTCGCCCTAATCGGCCCAAATCTCGCCTAACCAAGCAGCACAC